AATTCTGTGATTTATCGATCGGCTTTCATTGACAAACCTGATTAGATTCGGATTCCGTTCTGTCAATTAAGCTAACAAAAGTGACAGATTAGATAGAAAGATAGAGAGAAAAAGCAGTGGTACAATAGTTTTAGCATGGATAAGATAGATAAAGGTGGAGATTTATGAAGCTTTTTGAGTAGCAGTTTTAGAACAGCTTCTTAGTTTTAGACAGCAGTTTCTCCCTCAATTCGACCACATCAATCTCTCCGAAGTGGTTCTCAGGAATCCAGTTCCCACTCTTTGGATCTTTCATCCAAAATATGTTCTTCTGTTCAACTGCCTTGATATCATCCGAACCGCTCGTTTCCACAGTTGCTATCACGTTCTTCACCGTCATTGGTGCAGTTGCTCGTTCTTTACGTTGCTCGGATGCAACCAAAGAGCTCAGTCGCCTGCTATTGCATTGCTAAATTAGACAAGTCAAGGCTTTAAAACGTGTCTGTTAGGGAAAAGTTTTCACACCCTTATAAAGGTGTTTCGTTCTCCTCTCCCGTAGGATATCACAATCTACCCCCTTCTAAGGGTGTTTTGTTCTCCTTCCCAATGGGATATCACAATCCACCCCCCTTTTAAGGGTGTTTCGTTCTCCTTCCCAGTGGGATATCACAATCCACCCTCTTCAGGGCCCAGTGTCCTTGCTGGCACTCGTTCCATTCTCCAATCGACGTGGGACTTCCACCAAATCCAACCCCCTTCGGGGCCCCTCCTTACTAGCACACCGCCTCGTGTCTACCCCGTTCGAGGAACAGCCTCCTCGCTAGCACATTGCCGGTGTCTGGCTCTAATACCATTTGGGTCCATCACTAACAAACATTGTCCTCTTTGGGCTTTTCCTTTTAGGCTTCCCCTCAAGACCTTAAAATGGTAGGGAAAAGTTTTCACACCCTTATAAAGGATATTTCGTTCTCCTTCCCCCGTAGGATATCACAATCGACCCCCTTCTAAGGGTGTTTCGTTCTCCTCCCCAGTAGGATATCAAAATCCACCCCCTTTTCTAAGGGTGTTTCGTTCTCCTCCCTAGTGGGATATCACAATCCATCCCTTTAGGTCCCAGCGTCCTCACTGGCACTCGTTCCATTCTCCAATCGATATAAGACTCCCACCAAATCCATCCCTTTCGAGGCCCAACGTCCTTACTAGCACACCACCCAATGTCTGGCTCTAATACCATTTGTAACAGTCTAGACCCACTTCTAGCAAATATTGTCCTTCTTTGGCTTTTCCTTTTAGGCTTCCTCTCAAGACTTTAAAACGCATCTACTAGAGAAAAGTTTCCACACCCTTATAAAGGGTGTTTGTTCTCCTCCCCAACCAACGTGGGAAATTACAAAAAAAAACATATAAAACCAAGCCGAGAAGAACGTACCTTATAAAGTAAACACCATTTCCAGTTAGCTTAGCCATGTCTGAAGTAAAGACCACTTCCTATATCTGGTTTTGAATGATATATATATATATATACACACACACACATAGAACATGAGAATAATATGTTGCAAATTGGAATTTTATTATGAACAGAAACCCCACTTATAATTGTGTGATTGTATTATGTTATTGTGGATGCATAGAACTCTTGGGTGGATACACTCATTTTCTACCAGAAAAAAGTTAATAATTGTTATGTATATTTGAAAGAGACAAGATTTTAATAGGAAATTGGAAGAGACAAGATTAATATTCTCTCAAACATTTCCAAAGATAAGTCAAAAAGGAAATTATGCTGCTGCTTATGTTTAAACATTTCCATTACCGTATTCATTCTTATGATTAAAATATCATCTTCTTTATTTATTCTCAATTCGTGTGAGATCTCATATCGATTAGTGAGGGAACGAGTGTCAGCGAGGGCACTGAACCTTGAAGGGGGTGGATTGTGAAATCCGACTTCGATTGGGGAGGAGAATGAAATATTCTTTATAAAGGTCTAGAAACCTCTCTCTACCAAACACGTTTTAAAATCTTAAGGGAAGCACAGAAGAATCTTGAGTGGAAGAAAATCAAAAGAGGACAATATCTGGTTAAGCTGTTGTAGTGGATTGACATTTTTTTAGGGAGGACCTAAAACTATGGTTACAATCTAACCTAACTCTACTTTTAATATTACTCTAAGATTAAGAATATTTGACGTTTGTGGTCAATGTTGTATGATTTTTTTTAAATAATTAAAAAACAAGAATAATCCAACAACCCAACCGAACCCGAAAACAGAGAGTTGAGTTGTGAACTTTATTCGAGTTACTCGGATCACCCGTTTCAAATTGGGCTAAAAAATTTATCCAATCCAACATGTATACCCCTACTCGAAATTACTAACCACGTTGAAATTTTTAGTATACGAAATTAAAACATTTTAAACTTTTCTAAGGCATCTTTTCCTCCTTTTTCATTTTCCAACCATTGAGGTTCCAATGCTATTATGCCCATTTTCATATTTCATATGCTATTGACAAAGAATTTATATATATATATATTCTTTTTCGTGGTGTGGTAAAGAATCTTTAAATTTAGGAAAAAAAAACATTTTAAAATTTAAAAGATTCTAAACTATGATCGATCAAAATATACTTTGGAGAGCAATAAATTTGATTCTCGTCTTTATAATGAAATTTGCTTTTTCTTATTTATTAAGATTCGTTACGATTGAGATTGAGCGGAATAAAGTAACATAAGTTTGAAGCCAAATTTATTGAGCAAGATAATTTAAAAGATTTCATCAACTTTTTATTCTCATTTAAATAATATTTATTGTTCGTCGTATTTAATTTAAAAAGATAAACTTTTATAATTATAGAAAGTTTTAGAAAAAAGGTTTCTTTTTATTATCTAAAAAAATAAAAAGATTAACACTTTTATTTATTTATTTTTTTTCCTCATTAGTGTATGAAGAATATAAAAAAATAATCAAACCATTTTTTTAATATCTCATTTTTTTAAAAAATTTGTTTGTTAGAATATAATAAGCAACGAGCTAGTGTTAATATTTAATTTAAATTAAAAATTATTAAATAATTTCATAAACATATAAAAAAAACAATTGTGATAAAAAAATTGTGCGAAACAAAACATAATTATAATTTAAATAGGAAAGTCTTGATCAGTCCGATTTTATAAATCAGTCTGAGGTTGACATTTTGTTGGTTGAGTCAACTACGATCCAATACTATTTTTAAATTTATCGTGAAAATTAAAATATTTGACATTGGTAACCAATATTAGTGTTGTATCGTTCGATATTTGAAATTTTTATTATTAATGTAACATGGTAGATAGGTAAGATTCAATAAAAAAAATAATCGGATAATCCAATCCGAAAATAGAGAGTTGGGTTGAGTTAGATTGAATTCTATTTAAATTGATCGTATTATCAATCTGAAATTTGAAATTAGTCCAAAAGATTTTTCCAACCCAACCATCCTCATGGACACCTCTACTTAGTTTGATTCAACTTAATAAATTAATTTAAAGATATTTCAAAATATAAATTTTTAAGATGGATAATTAATATGTTAATCATTTCACTAAACTTGATTTGACCTTAATTAAAGAATAATAAACACGTTTACTTCACTTTGCATTCATTAATTCTGATTATACAAGTAAGTGGGCGGGCAGGTGGGTGTTTCTACCATACTTACTTTAAACATTTATTTATTTATTTATTTATTATTACTGTTATTTTTTCGATTTTAAAGGAGTGGTCCATGTCATTTTTTTTAATTCTAAAACGCATTAAATTTATAATTAAAAAAATAAATCTAATAAGTTAGGTTGTATAATATAAAATTGAAAACAACTTTCTTTCAAATTCAATAAATGCATATATATATATATATATATATATATATATATATATGTCTATTGTTTTTATTTAATTTTATAATAATAATTAATTTTTTAATTTATTCTTCAACAACTTTTAAAAAATAAATTTTAAGTATTTCTAAAATATATATTAAAATTAAGTAATAAATTTCCATTAAATAAAAATGAATAAATAAATATTTTACAAATTAACATCTTACTTTTTATTAAACGAACAAAATAACTCAAACGAATTCAACCCAATAAATTTAGGGTCAGGTTGGGTCGAGTTTATAATTTAATAATAATTATTTAAGTTAAAATATAACGGCACAAGTTCACCCCTAGCAAATATTGTCCGTTGGCCCGCTACATATTACCACCTCAATTAGGAAAACAGACAATATAAACTAACAGCGGGTTTGATCTATTACAAAGAGTATCAAACCAGACATTGTACGGTATGCGAGTAAGAACATTTTTGCTCTCAAGAACGGTGGATTGTGAGATCCCACCTCAATTGGGAATGGAAACGAAACAATACTTATAAGGGTATGGAACCTCTCCCTAACAAACTACCGGAACAATTGAATCTATGAATACACTGTAAACACCTCAATTGGGAAAGCTATAAACTAATAGTGGGCTTGATCTATTACAAATAGTATCAAACCAGACATTGTGTACGTATGCGAGTAAGGACATTTTTGCTTCCAAGGACGGTGGATTGTGAAATCCCACCTCAATTGGGAATGGAAACGAAACAATACTTACAAGGTTACGAAAACCTCTCCTTAAAAAACCAGAACAATTGAATCTATGAATACACCGTAAACACCTCGATTTACTAACAGTGGGCTTGATCTATTACAAATAGTATCAAACCAGACATTGGACGGTATGCGAGCAAGGACACTGTGCTCCCAAAGACGGTAGATTATGAGATCCCACCTCAATTGAGGATAGGAACGAAACAACAGTTATAAGGGTATGGAAACCTCTCCCTAAAAAACCACCCGAACAATTGAACGAGACGAAGTATGAATACAGCCAAGGAAGAAAATTAAAATTTTAGAAGGTGAAAGCAACAGAGCAGAAATAAGAACAGTACATTTTCTGGGGCAAGCTGCGTTTAAATAAACAACTTTTTAACCTTAAAAAAATCAACGTCCTTGTCTCATTTTCCACGTTTCCATTTTTTTTTTTAAAAACAAACCACACACCTTTTCCTTTGTGGATATCATTTTTACATATATAAATCTGTCGTATCCAATTCCCTCACACTCTCATCATCTCCCCTTCCCAAATTCAACACCCCCTTCACGATGAACCACAGGAATCCAACCAATTTGAAGGCTGTCGGGTTAGGAATCCTTGTTCATCGATCCCCAGAACCAAATCTAGTGGTTAAACAATCCAGAAAGCTTGTTTTTTCACTCACTTCATCTTCTAATAACCCATCTTTTCTCAAATCATGTCTTCTTTGCAACAAGAATCTTGACCCCCATGAAGATATTTACATGTACAGGTACTCAATTTTTGCTAAATTCATTAGCTGTTCATCATGGGTTATGAAATAGATCGGGAGTTCTTGTGTTTGGTGATCAAATCATGGAATTTGGTCATGAATTTTGCCGTTTTGTTGTTCGGTTTGTTTGATGATGTTTGGTCGTGTGAAACAGGGGAGATCAAGGTTACTGTAGTGTGAAGTGTCGGAACCAGCAGATTGAAATGGATGAAAAGAAGGAATTAGAAGCTTCTACAAGGAAAATGGTGGAAGCTTACAGGCAATGTCAGAGAAATGAAGGAAGTGAAACTCGCCGCCTCTTGGAGGATCTCCGGCGGCCACATCACCGGCTTCCATATCTCCGGCGACCTGTTGTTTCGTAGTCTCCTCTGTTTTGAATCTAATGGAAATGGCAAAATTGTAATTAAAATGGATGGAAGTAATAGAAGCCCTAAAGAGTGTTTTTTTGTTTAAGTTCTTGTCCATGGGTTTCTTTGTGTGTGTGTGTGTGGTAATGATGTAAGGCTGAAATGAAACATGTTAGAGATAATGTACTAACGTTATCTTCAAAATATCTGTCGGTGTATTATTGAGGGGTTGGGGTCTAGGTACGGGTTGGCAGATCTCACATCGGTTGGAGAAAGGAACGAAACATTTTTTTGTAAGAATTTGAAAACTGTGAGGATAATGATGATACGTAACGGGTTAAATTGGACAATATCTGCTAGTGGTGGAATTGAACAGTGACAAATGGTATCAAAGCTAGGTTTTGGGCGGTGTGCTGGCAAGGGCGCTGACTCCTACAGGAGTGAATTGCGCTGACTTCTATAGGAGTGAATTGTGAGATCCTACATTCGTTGGAGAGAGTAAGGGAAATGATATTAGAGCTAGGTTATGGGTTGTATGTCAGCAAGGACGCTGGCCTCTGAGGGAGTAGATTGTGAGGTCTCACATTGGTTGGAGAGAAGAACGAAACTCTCTAGTAGATTCGTTCTAAAATTATGAGGTTGATGGCAATACGTAACGGACTAAAGCGGACAATATAATTGAATTGTAAAAACTACACTAGATATTACAATTCTGCTACATCAACGAGCTTAAATATGAAAAATAATCTAAACTGATAGACATGAAAACCATTATGATATCAACCCCACCCGATCGCTAGTCTATGTTGTCCACTTTAGCTCGTTATACGTATAGTCATCAGCCTCATGGTTTTAAAATGCGTTCTTTAAGAAGAGGTTTCCACACTTTTATAAGGAATGCTTCGTTCCCCTCTCCAACTGACGTGGGATCTCACAATCCATATCCTTCGCGGGCTAGCGTCCTTGCTGGCACACCGCTTGGTGTCATGGCGTAAGCCCACCATTAGCACATATTCTCTTCTTTGAGCTTTTCCACTGGAGCTTCCCCTCAAAGTTTTAAATTTTCGGTCGCCACTCGAGGAGTGGAAGGCCCTTAGTGATATGGAAGAGGTATATGGAGAAGAGAAGAAGTTGAGATCTCAACACATGCTTAAACCTTCTTGAATGATAATTCATTCCAAATTGCAAGACTTCAATAACTCCCTCTGGATTTCCTCATCTGTTCATCATTTCTACAGAATTTTCTCTCCCTCAAGTGGTTCATATATCAACGACAAGTTCAAAGAACTGTGTTTAAGTGCAAAATTTGTTTAAGCACTTGAAGAATCACTCTTAAATACGTTCAAACTCAAACTAGTTCATCTTAGCCTGCAAATTTTCTGCAAATCGTGAAGAAATTTGGCGAGAAAACAACCTCGAAACAAGAACAACATCAGAAAAGAAGAACACATATTAAAAACGAAGAGATCTAGATCTTTTCGTTTCGTTGGTTTTTTTAGGGTAATGGATATTCATCCATGGATTGAGTATCTTGAAGCAAGAAAACGGTACCGCGTTCATAAATTCCAGCCCTCGTGGGTTCGACCGTACCATTGGTTCGCTCAAAATTCTTTTGGAAAAGTAAAGAAACCAGTTACTTGTTGTAATCAAGGTAAGGTACTTTTGAAATACACTACGGTCTTTTCCTTTATTTAAATTTATTTTTTGTTTATAGGGTTTTGGAATTAGCTCTCTTACTTTATCAATCAGTTCATCAAAGGGCCTTAAATTAATCCCTCAAAATTTCGCGTTTATTTGGTGTGTTTGACCTCAACTTGGAAATGCCGGAATTGGATGTATTTATCATTTTTTTTTTTTTTTTTTACAATAATTCTGAGACTGTGAGCGTTTTGAATTTGTGTTTTCCGTGAAATATAATAGAGAGAGAGAAAGAGAGAGAAATATGCTTTTTAGTTTCTAATTATTTTTGGATTGTAAAATTTTAAAGATATGAATTTAAGGGCGTAAAGGATTCTCCATCTTGGTGGACTCGAATGTTGATCTTTAAAGCTACGGACTACTTAGGGTTTTCGATTTTCCTGATTTTTTCCATTCCTTGGGCGATCTTCCTTCCTTCACTCGGTGAGTTCCTCTAATTTCATCTTCTGCTTTGCTTACTCTCTTCCTTAATTTCATGTTCTCTTCTCAATTTGAACTCTATGAAGGTTGAATTCCGAGGCCTCTTGTCGCATTCGGAAGAAAACTGGTTTTTCTGTAATCTGTTCTTCTTTTCTTTCACAACGACTAAGTTTTCTCTGGTTTTCAATTCAATTCTGAGCAGATTCTGTGTTCATATTTGTGAAGTTCTTAGAGCTAATCCAAAGCTAGCAGTTCTTCATATCTATCGAAGTTCATTTACTTTCAGTTAACTCTTTGGGAGTTTAAATTATGAGTTGATGCTGGAGGCAAGGATTTTAAAGTCTCCTGTGAAAAGCTGGAGAGAGTACATTACTAGAGAGGGTTCATTTCTCTTATATAACTCCAATGGTGTTTCATTCTCAAGTTCCTTCAAGATATACTTGTAGGCTTCTTGCAATCCCCTGTCGGAGTGTTCCTGAAGATAAATTTAAGAAGGATAATCCAGATGATGAGCAGAGATATCCCTTTCCACAATTAAATTCTTCTGGGCGTTTGGAGGTTCGAATTTTGTTGATGAGTGTTAGCTTGTATGTTCCTGCAACTACCTTGTTTTAATTATCTTTGTCACATATATTTGCAGGTCCAGGTTTTGCCCAATCCTAGTAAAGATGAGTTTTGTAGGATTATTGAATCGTATAGACCGAGCATTGTTTACTTACAAGGGGAACAACTTGAGAATGATGAAGTTGGTTCTTTAGTATGGGAAGGTGTTGATTTGTTCACCGTAGAAGCGATTAGTGGGCTCTTTAGTTCTCCGTTGCCCACCACTGTATGTTCTACATCCTTTTTGAATTTTCAGTTTCGTATTTTCTTGTATCATTTTGTAATCAGAGCCCCTGCAAAAGGAAAAAGTAAACAGAAACAAATAAGAACTTCTATATTGTATGATTACAGTGAACTAATGTTGTTTTAATTGGACACCGAGAAAACGTTAGCCAGTCTAGTTATCCTATCAGCTTACATATATTTTGGATGTTGAATTCAGTGTGGCGTTTGAAAATTCCACAAAGCTTTCACTAAGCTAGTTAATAAATTTTATGGTTTGTTGAAACAAGCCTGCTTCTGATAACCATCGCAACCTCTTATGTCCGTTACGTTTCACTCCAATTTTTACTAACGACCTTGGTGTGGATCTTCAGGTATATTTGGAAGTAGCCAATGGAGATGAAGTAGCTGATGCACTTCATTCCAAGGTGAATTTCATTTAGTTCCATATTTACGTTCTGTGTTTACTGCCATTTCTGATGTGCTTGTATGAAGTGTGAGCTATTTTCATAAACCAAGAGAATGGAACAAGATATTTTGGTTAACTGGTTGCTTACTTGTTATCAGGGTATTCCTTATGTCATATACTGGAGAAGCACATTTTCTTGTTATGCAGCATGCCATTTCCGTAATGCATTTCTTTCGGTTCTTCAGAGGTATTCCATTAGTATGACAATGCAGATTAATCGGTGCTATGTATAGATGGAAAGTAAAGGATAATTGAAGGATAACTATTTTTCAATGTGAATTGCAGTTCATCTGCTCATACATGGGACGCATTTCAACTTGCACATGCTTCATTTAGGATGTATTGCTTGGGAAACAGCCTTGTTCTTCCTAACAGTAGTCATAATGACGTTAGTGAAGATCTAGGACCACATCTTCTAGGAGAACGTTTGAGAATAAACATTGAACCCCTTGAGAAAGAGGCAGCTGATGATGAAGAAAGTTCATCGGAAGTTCCTTCTGTTAGCATACTTGATCATGATGTTGAAATGAGATTTCTCATATGTGGTGAACCAAGGTCATTGGTAAGTAGGAATGGACACGAATGTGCAAAATTCGTACCCTTCCAGTATCCTATATGGCATGACTTGTAGTTTTGTTTTTCTCTTTCTAGGATGCTTACGTATTAGGAGCTCTGGAGGATGGTCTTAACGCTCTCTTGGACATTGAAGTAAGTAGGGAAAATGCTTTATTGCTAGAACCTCTGTTTCTAATAGACAATCTAGCTTCTTGATTTGGTTATGTCCTGTTAATAGGGGAAAGTGTTTTCTTCTTACTTTTTTTTCTAATACCTATTTTTGTGCTTTAGATTCGGGGGAGCAAACTTCACGGCAAGTTCAGGTGTGTTGGTTTTTGAAGTCACTTCCTGACTTATTTCGAGGTTTCTGGATTGCATCACCTGCCTAATGCATTTGAGGAGTTCTATTTTATTATTTTTTCTATGTCGCTGGTGTTTTTATGGATTTAGTCACTGCAAAAATTTTCTGACCTCTAAATGGAGTTGTAGACTCCACATTTTATAATGGCTGTCAATTGTATTAATTCGTCTGATGTGCACAGTGCCCCTCCTCCACCTCTCCAGGCAGGAATGCACTCTAATGGTGTTGTGACCATGCGCTGTGACATATCAACATGCAGTTTTGCCCACATCTCACTATTGGTGTCGGGTAGTGCACAAGCTTGTTTTGATGATCAGGTAATGTAGGAGCTCTCTGGTTAGGTTTTCATCTTATTTTGCAGCTGTCAGATCTTATACAACTTCTTACTTGTTTGTATTCAGCTATTTGAAAATTATATAAAGAATGAGATTATAGACAGAAGCGAACCAGTACAGACACTAATAGATGGTGATGGAAGCAAACACTCGCGTGAGCCACGGAAATCTGCTTCAGTTGCTTGTGGGGCAACAGTTTTCGAAGTTAGCATGAAGGTCCCTTCGTGGGCATCTCAGGTTGTCCGATCACTTCTCTTCATCTTATTTTATGAGATTGTATCCATTGGAATCTGATTCTATATTCTGGTTTAGCATTCGTATGTTCTTGAATCAGAATGGCTGTCTTCTATCTAGCCTGAAATGCTGTGCACTGATTTCGGTGAATTTGTTTCTCCTGGCCTGGTTCTTGATTACGGAATCTAAAGAATATTAATGCTTGCTGATATTTATATATTTCCAGTGTTGGGGAATCAGAACTAAAAATCTATGAAGCAGTATCTCGTATTCGTCGAGTGATGATTGATGATTACTAGCTCTTATAATGAGTATGTGCTTGTCCGTGGCTGTTTTGCAGATTTTGAGGCAGTTAGCCCCTGATGTTTCTTATCGAAGTTTAGTTGTACTTGGCATTGCCGGCATTCAGGGTTTGTCTGTAGCTTCTTTTGAGAAGGACGATGCTGAACGCCTCATTTTCTTTGGTTCAAGGAAGCAAAGAGATTTATTTCTAAACA